TTCAAGAGACAACAATCAAACATGGCAAAACAAAATACGTTCAGACAAGGCAAACGCCTTCTCACACTGAAGCTGGACAAGGCAACCAAAAGTAGGAAAAGAGTCCCAAGAGCAGGCAAAAACAGTCAGAGACATATTCTCCCACTGTAAGGAGCCCATAAAAAACAGCAAGTCAATAGCTGCAACACATCACATGCTCAGAGGACCTGGTTCAGACCCATGCAGACCTGCGCTCTGCTTTAGTCTCTGTGAGTCAACATGCGCCCTGCTTATTTGATTTAGTGGGCTATGTTCTCCTGGTGTCCTCCATCCTCTCTGACTCCTACAGTCTTTCCTCTTCCTCTTCCACAGGATTCCCCAAGCTGAGGGGACCCAAAGGAGATCTCCAATTTAGACTCTCTCTCCCTGTCTCTGTCTCTGTCTCTCTCTCTCTCTGTCTCTCTCTCTCTCTCTCTCTCTCTCTCTGTCTCTCTCCATCTCTCTCTGTGTCTCTGTCTTTGTCTCTCTCTGTCTCTCTCTCTGTCTCTCTCTCTCTCTCTCTCTCTCTCTCTCTCTCTCTCTCTCTCTCTCTCTCTCTCTCTCTCTCGTCTGGCCATGGGTCTATGCACTAATTCCCATCTGCTGCCGGAGAAAGCCTCTCTAACTGCAACTGGACAAGGCACTGACCTGTGAGTATAGCAGAATAGCATTAGGAATCATTTCATTAATTTTTTTAGACCAGTTGTGTTTGATTCTTTCCCAGGTTTCTGGGATATCCAGTCTCTGGCATGAATGCCTTTTCAAGGAGTTGAGCCCCTTAAAGTGTTCTTTGAGCAGCTGTCCCTGCACCCAAGCAATTTCAAGCTGATGTTATTTCATTGTAGCTTTCTGATTCTTCCATTGCATTCCCTTCATAAACATGTCACCATCTCCAAGAACATGTTGAGTTTACAATTTTATTTGGCAGCTTTGTCTCCTGGCATGAAGAAAGGCTGAAACACCACACACACACACACACACACACACACACACACACACACACACACACACACACACATGCATGCACGCAGGCACGCACGCACGTACGTACGTGCTTTGAAGCATTTTACATTCATAGAGACACTGATGTGCGGATTTTAATTATAAAATTGTCATGGGTCATTAAATTCATTCTGTGGTTTCAAAATAAGAAGAAATGTTTTTGCAAATATAGCAATGAGATGTTTAAAACAACTAAACAAGAAAATAAAGCAGAAACAGAAGTTGCCATCATCGCTGTGGTGGTCGAAGTTTCACACTGGGGGACTGCTCCCCAGTGTACGCGGATTACAGGGTGATGGAATGGTGAGGGGAGAGCATCTCATCAGAAGGTCCTCGGCTCTTCCCAGGGGCTTTCCTTAAAGGAGTAATCATTATAAGAAAGCCTGACCCATCAGTCCCTCCGGCTTCATGTCTCACTGTAGGATCTCTTCCGCATACACTTCTACCATTGTTATGTTCCCGGTCATAAGACATTGACAGAGACCAGCAAAATCCAGTGCACAGGTCTTGAACCTCAAGACCCGTGAGTTACATAAACTTCTTTTCTTTAAAACTACCCAGTCTCCAGTGAAACAAGTATTTATCCCTAGTGCACAAATGGATTTTGGGAGCCCATTCCCTATGGAGGGATACTCCCTCAGCCTGGATACATGGGGGAGGGCCTAGGCCCAGTACCAGATGATGTGACAGACTTTGGTGATCCCCATGGGAGGCCTCAACCTTCCTGGGACATGGATGGAGAGTTGGTGGGAGGCATGGGAGGACAAGAGGGAGAAGGAACTAGGATTGGTATATAAAATAATATTGTTTTTAATTTAAATTTAAAAAAAGAAAATAAAGTAGAATAAAATTGCCCAGTCTTGTATTACAGGGAATAATACTCTGAGCTGATTATTCAAAACTTATTTTTTTAAGGAGACACTGAATTAAAAGAGCTAAAAGCAGTATACTTTTAATTTTCTTGTACTTTCTCCCATGCATATTGGCTTCTTTTTTCAGTTTTAAAGTGAGTATGTTCTAAGGTATCACAATAGAGACCACAATGAAAATATGAAAGAAACATGTGCATCTGCTTTTGGGTGTGTTGTATCACTTTAAGGAAAATGGGAAAGTTTCAGAGAGAGGCTGAGAATAATGAGATTTTTCAGAATTCTCACTCACTTGTCAGAATGCCACACTACTGGACGATAGTGAGCTCCCAGCTTTTTACTATATACTTTTCATTTAAAAATTAGCATAAACTATATGTACATATATGCATGTAAAGTTTACATATACCTTATTATACTGATACTCTACTGAATACAAATAGCATACAAAACGAGATTATTTTTATATGGTAGAAACAAAATATTAGAATGAGAATTGCTGTCACATGACAGTAATCTCAGCATTTAGAAGGCTGACCCAGGATTACGAGGTCAAAGTCAGACCCTGTCTCTAAAACATATGCACTCTTAGATGTTCAGGTTTTTATTACAAAAGACTTCCCTACATATTTTGCACGTTCTCTTTGCAGTCTTTGGAAATGCTAGAAGAGAAGACATACACCTCTGAAGTTTAATTTACTATTTTAAAACAATCTAAGTTTAACCTACCACACCTGAATGGGTGGAGATATATTGTTGTTGGGATGGAGTTCTTTCTCTTGACTGGATAGCAATGGTGATGTTAAGGAGAGATTGTTTGGAGGTACAATGACAAGGGGGAGCTCTTAGACCCAAGTCTAATAGCTGAGAGGCCAACATGGGACTGATCCAGACCTCCTGAATGTGGTGTCAGTGAGGAGGCCTTGGCAATATCTGGGGCCTTGGGTAGTAGAGCAGTGTTTACCATTGTGTAGGAAGCCCATTCCACATGGAGGGATGCTCTCTTGGCCTACGCCCTCCCCTGATGAAGTGACAGACTCTGGAGATCCCCCACGGAGGGCCTCACCCTCCATGGGGAATGGTGTGGGGTTGGGGGCCTGACAGAGGGGCAGGGAGGAGGGGAGGGAGAGGGAGCTGGGATCAACTTGTGAAGCATGCATGTTTCTAATTTAAATAAAAAATATATTGAAAAAAGTAAGTCAAAAGCAATTTTACCTTTGTATGTAGTACTAGGCAATCATAGTATTTATCATTAATATTTATCATAAGTATAACAGACTCACAACACTTCAGTCTTTTTGTTTGCTTTTGTTGTTGCTGTTGCTTTTGCTGTGTTTTGCTTGTTTCTGTTTTTCTTTTCAGTGGAGGGGTTCTCACTATGTAGTCCCAGTTGGCATGAACTTCTTCAGCTTCCTGGGTGCTTGGATGGCATGTACCATCATGCCTGGCAGGTTCTTTTCTAGCCTTCCAACCAGATTATCCATCTTTTAAAGAGAAAGTGCTTCTTAAGGCACTTTTCCTCTCCCTCTGGGTGTTCAGGAATTTGGGTACCTAGTAGTTCTGTTCCAGGCCCACAGCAGCCTTGAGTCTCCTGCCTCAGGCTTTTGTCCTTATTGTGATTTCAAAGTCAGCAGAAGAAACAACTCGCTAGCCATGCTGGGAGAAAATGCCTTCCTTTAGCTATGGACAAGGGCTGATTGTCATCGCTAGAGCAGTATTTGTTCTCATCTGGCTCTCTTAGCTAACTCACAGGCATGGTGGCTGTCACAGACAGTAGCTTAAATGGTTGAAATGAGCAGCAGGAAAGGACAAGAACAGGATTGCTTCCCAAGCAAACGACCTACCAGAGGGTGCGTGTTCTCCAGACGAAAAACAGTTCCATGAAGTGTTTTATCCAGGAAAGACCTGAACTCCTGACGGAACAAAATTACTTTCTGCTTAGACATGAAATGGGAGAGGGGGTCGTTAATGCAATAATTTACTTCAAAGATCCCTCCCTACCCGAGAGAAGACAGAGAGGGGACAGAGTAGGAGGAGAGAAGAGGGAGAGCAGCCAGGGAGGGGGATGAGGGAGGGTAGGAGTTCAGAAGGAAGAAGCAGGAAGGGAGGGTCAGAAAAATAAAATCAGAAAAAGAAAATGGTTGGCTCTCTATTTCACTATGTATTTCTGAGATGACCTCGTTCTTTTAGAAGAAAAACCCAACCCTGGTCTGTCTGTGCCTGTGGCACCAAGCACACTGTTGAGGGGACCTCCATCCTGCTGTAGCCAGAGAGCACAACTCAGCAGCACTGACCTTAAGTCTTCTTCTTCTTCTTCTTCTTCTTCTTCTTCTTCTTCTTCTTCTTCTTCTTCTTCTTCTTCTTCTTCTTCTTCTTCTTCTTCTTTATTTTTATTTTATTTTATTTTACTCTTATTCTGCTGGGTTTGAACCTGAGTAATTGAGGCAAAGAGGATCCAGCCTGGGGGCAGCATTCAGATGCAGGCTGCTGGGAGCTGGCAGGCTTGGAGTCTCCTGTTAACACGCTGTGACCAGGACGCAGCTGGCTTTGCATAAGGACATTAAATATACAGCACCACAGTTTGGTCCTGGGCCCGGCCTCCGACTGGTGGCACCTGGCCATTTGTCTCCGCCAGCCAAGGCCTGGCCCTGGTTTCCACGATACCGGGAATGCCTCAGAGTTCGCCTTCACACCTGTTAGGGGGTTCTCCACTCCCGCCACCAACCCAGCTGGAGCCCCCTTGCAGCATTCGCCGGGGGCGTGCAGAGATGGCCTGGGCGGACCTGGATGCGCGCAGGGCCTTTCGGAACCGACCCCTGTAAACCCTGGCACGGAAGGCTGGGCGGGGCGGGGGCCCTGGGAGGCGGGAGAGGTCGAGCAGGGCGGAGAGGGGTATGGGAAGGGCCGGGGGAAGGGCCTTCTCCGCTCGCGTAACGCTGCCGGAGCCTGCGGCAGAGGCGGCGGGGCTGAGCCCTGGAGGGGATGGGGCTGCCACCAACCTCGGATCTCTTCTCCGCAGCACCGGCGGCGTCGCCTCCCCTTGGCTGGCCGTGCCACTCCTTAGGCCGCGCACGGTGATCGCGGGAACGGGAGGGCAGCACCTCGCCCTGGACTGGAAAGAAGGGCGCGGTAGGGTCACAACAGGGTGACTTTTAGTGTCCCCGGCGACCCGCGAGTCCCCCAAGCGCCAGGAGACCTTGATCCGGACCGAGCTACCTGCGCGCCCCCGGGGAACGATCGGCGGCCGGGAAGAAGGTGCGGAGCTCGGCCGCTCGGCCCCGGGAGCCCGAGTAGCCCATGGCGGGCAGCGATGTGACTTGTGAGGGGCCATCGCGGAGGGGCGGCGCGACCCAGAGCCCCGGGGCTCCCGGCGGGTTGGGCAGCGAGGCAGCGACGAGCTGCCCCGAGCCGCTGTCCGCTGCTGAAGCTCCGGCCGAGCGCGGCGCACTGCCCGCCTGGATGCGCCTCTACTTCTACGGGATGCACGGCATCACCCTGGACGTGCTGGTGTCCTCCGCCAGGCGCTTCGCCCGCAGCCTGGATCTGCGGATGCTGGGCTTCTCGTCCCCCTACCGCTGCCTCTTGCACTCGCTCACCCACTTCGCCCTGGAGCAGCTCTACAAGCAGCGGCCACGCTGCCCCAGCGCCTTCCTTTTCAACTTCCTGCTCTACCCCTGGGCACACGTGGGGCTGCAGACCCTGGCGGGCCAGGCGCTGCTGCTCGGCCTCGGTGGCGGGCCGGGGGGCGCAGTGGCGCCGGGGGCGCTCGACCTAGCGCTGCAGTACGTCCTGGCGCTCTACCACGGCCAAGTGTTCCTGAAGCGCTTCCTGCGTCTGCGGTACCCGCGGCAGCGTCAGCAGCAAACCAGGGACACGCTACCGGCAGCCCCGGACGCCCCAGTCCTTTTAGAGGCTGGTGGACGGCGACAAGGACCCTGCGGCCCCAGGGGCAAAGAAGGAGTCCCTAGCCAGGGACTGCCAGACCTCTTCCGCTTCCTTTTCTTCGGAATGCATGGTTTCTTAGATGAGATCTTCTTCACCTTCTTCTTCAATGTTCTGGGGCAGGGGGACGGGACCAGCAGTGGGCACACGTCGCTCTGGTCCTTCTTCATGTACGGCAGTTGTAGTTTTGTGGTGGAAAAACTCTACTTTCACCTGCACTACAGACGCGGCTGGGGCACCTGGAAGCGGGTGCCCATCTATGTGATCTTTATCTATGCTTGGGAGTTGTCCTGGGGTCTGGGACTTCGCATGTGTGGGGCCTGTTCTTGGGACTATTCTCACTATCCCCTCAATTTCATGGGCCTCATCACTTTGATGTATTTGCCTGGTTGGCTATTCCTTAGTGTGTACCAAGACCTACTTTCCAACGTGTTGTGGCGGGTGCAGTATGTCCCAACGAACTAAGACTGGGGGGGGGGCGGGGGGAGGAAAGAAAGAACCTGACAAATGGATGCAATTTATTTTTACACATTTAAAACGAAGTGGTTTTGTTTTCAGCCTTTTTAATTTTTATACACTTTACTAAACTCTTCCAATTTGTTTTACTTGACGTTTTAGTTTTTCCAGACCTCTTGGAAACTATCTGCAAAGTTGAATAGTTTGAAATGTTACTCAAAACTAACTCAAAATATTTAACTCATCAATAACTTAAACCTTTTCGAGGTCAAACCACTAAACCACTGTACCTTAACTGTACTATATCAGAAACCGGTAATACTCAACTGAACCTCGAAGAGCAAGAACTACTTATTTTTCTTTTCTTCTATGAAAGTTTTCAGATCGGAGAACAGTGATTTTTATAAGTTCCTGACTTAATGAGCTGTTTACTTTCCTTTGAATGCAATTTCATTTTACGTTCTTGCCATTTTTTTCAATGGCAGCTGAAACTCCATGTCTTGTGTGTACATTAGAAACGCCAGTTCACGCTCTTAAAGTGCCTCTGTCTAGTTTGTATACACGTGAGAGGAAGCTGGCAAGTGTGAAACGTCCCAGGAACATGTTTTGACACGAGGAGTCTTTTTTGTCAACTCCAGCAGGTGGCACTGTATTAAGACATTTGGTCATCATCTTGGAAACGATTGCTTTCCAGAGTTGACTAGCCTTAAACACTATTTGTGTTAACGTTAACCAGAACTTGTGTTATCCACACCTTAGTAACTGTGCAATAACTTAAATGTTTACTCCATATGTCCCAGGATCTAGTGAAACTTTATCACCTTCAATGGTGTTCTAAGTCTAAGGAACCCTTTTCTACATAGAGCTTCAAATATAGAAACAGTACCTTGGAATAAATTGAATCTGAATTCTCCCTCCAAGTACATTAGGCCTAATTGTTTTCTCTATTTACGGATGTGTTTTCACCATATTTCTCTCACTTCCCTTTTCTTTTCTTTTCTTTTTTTCTTTCAGGCTCAGAATCTGGGGTCAGGCCCGATGTAGTAATGCACCATATAAATGCATGGTAGCTTTTTGACAGCTTATGATTAATTAATGTCTAAAAGCTCCAAAGTTAAATGAGATGATGGAAGCCATTCTAAGAAATTATATCTAATTGATTAATAATGTACTCTGAGGGTGGTTGCTGGTTTATTGTATTTAGAAGTGAGAGTAGAATGGAGTGTGGCTCGGCCAACGATGACTAATAACCTCTCAGCTTAAAAGAAGAGTAGGAAAACTTAGAATGCGTATTAATGAGTTTGAATGGTCCAATTGCCTGTGCTGTAAAAGGGCGATGTTTTCTATTTCAAAAAAAAGTTTGCTAGGAGAATAGAAAAGAATGTGTAGTTAGACTTGATGTCTGTCACAATCCTAGTAACACTATCCATGCATCCATCCTCCATCACCTGGAGTTGTGAGCTAAATTATAAATAATGTCATATAGTCAGCTCCACTGTAACATGGATGTGGACAAACTAATTATTTGCATCACTAAAGGCTTGGAAGGAAGCTCTATGTTTGCCAAAGGTTTCTCTTAAGTTCTTGGTGACATTCTGTAACAGCTCAAAGGCTCCCGAACTGTGCTTGAGGGGAAAATATGTAAGCAAAGATAGAAAAGCTAGAAAGATGCAAGACAAGGTGCCTGTAATGTATCTGTGACACATGCACGGGACTCTGAGTTAATTGTGGCACCACCACACAGCTGACATTCCTGTGAATGTCCAGTCAGCTCTGTGGCTTCTGAAATGCTTCATAAATTGTCGCCACTCACCTCCAGTATATGATGTATCAGAGCCATGGAGGAGCCTAATCTCCAGTTTCAAAGTCCTGGAACAAATACCATTTCATTCTCCTTTTAATACTATCCTCATTAAGGGAATAGAGTAAGGTTTTTCACTCATTAGACTTATCCAACAAATAGTTACCCAGCCTCCAGGAATTAGTAGGCACTACCCAGAACTGTGTATACATGGTATGAACCCATAGACAAATCTGTGTCCTTACAGAGCTGGAAATTGACTGTTTTGATTCTATGAAACTGTACTCTGCTTGCTTGCTTAGTTGTTTCTTCAAGGTCATTGTTTCAGTAATAGATGATGAGCAGCAGGAGCTATAACTATCATCAGTCCTGTCCCTAGCACGTAACAGCCCATCATTCCAAAAAAATAAAATAAAATAACCAGTCTCCCTGTTAATTCTACAAAGTGCTAGCTGTGTATACAGGAAGTGATTAGCCTGGCTGGTAATTCAGGGCTTCTCGATTTGCGTTTGCCCCACTTCTTAAAGGAGGCATTTTGCTGTGATCTTTGACCCTTCAGGATAAAAGAACCACCAAATCATTTAACTTTGTTATTAGTAGTAGTTTAGGGGCAGAAATTCTAAGACAGTATGGTAGTTAATATTTTAAGTAGCATTTTCTCTCTGACAAAACTTCTCTAAAGTGTTTATGTATATTTATTATACAGATAACAAATTAAGAACACATTCTTACATACTATGCCTTAAGTGAATATACATTCAGTATATATTTTAAGTGTGTATTTATATATGTGCATATATTTGCTTAACTTGCAACAACCCTTGCTTTTCTAGATGAAGACAATAAAACTAAAGCCCAAATGAATTCAATAACTACCGGAGTTATACAGCTTTTGAGCGTTTATATTTGAGTTGGTGGATACAGGACTCCAGGCTGTTCTTAAAAGCAGCTTGATTATGCCTCAGTCTACTGGACTCCATGGTAGGAATATTGTCTGGACTGTTCTTCACTCGACTGTTAGAGATGCACAGACATAGCGAATGAATATAAGCAGGATATATAACTGACAATCAGCCTTCTTTTACTCCGTAGATAATGCCTTTATATTTAAGCAGTGCTCTGAAAGGAAGTTCTTCCTATAGACTCCTATAAGATAATTTTGCAACAAAAAATGTAAGAATAATAGGCTAATATGCAAGGTATATCATTATCACAAGCTATGAATGTGCAGATACATTAATCACCACTATACACTAAACATTATATTTAGAGCAGGTGTTGTTGTGAGGACTAACCAGCCCCAAAGAAAGAAAGTTTGTAGCCCAGTGTGCTGGCACACAACTGTAATCCTAATACTAAAGATGCTGAGGCAGGAGGATTGCAAATTTGAAGTCACCCTAGAGCACATAATGATATCTTGTTTTAAAAAAAATAACACTGTTCTTACAAAGACATGTATTCTGAGTTCTACTGAAGAAAAGATGTTCTTGTAGAAAAGCCTAAAAGTAGCAAGTGTGCTTAACATATGCAATGCTGAGATTTCTTTTTAGAAGTACTTGAAATCTTAAGTGAGTTCTATTGATTTCTGTGAATCTAAAGAGGAGTATAAGCTCTTGAATTTTCATGTGAACAATGAATACAGAAGTCCAAATATCGAAGAAAAACTGCCAATAAAGTTGCTAACATTGTGTTAGTTCAAACATTTCCATCATTTGGTGTTCTTGATTATTTCTGTTCCGTTAATTGACAGTTCATACTGCAACCAAGCAACATACTAAGTATAGGAAGATAAGGGTTTTTTTCTTTTTGTTCTTTCAGAAAAACTGTTAATTGGATAGTCCCAACACATATTTAAAAAACAATTTTTTATTGTTTTGAAATAGGCTGTCAGTTTGGCAGACCTGGTTCTGTTTAGGAAGGATGTTGAAGAAATTTGGTGGACAACTTTGACTTCCATTTTGAAGGAGGTTCATAAAGCATCTATATATCTGAACACAGGCTGTATTCATGACACACTTAGTGGTAAGCCATGGTACCAAAATATCTGACACTGTAATAAAGCCAGTGTTTAGGTATGTTAAAAAGCATTACAACTCTACCATTTCAATTAATTTTGAAAACACTAACTCTAACAGTGCTTACTAGAGCTAAGTCCTTTACCAAAGGGAATTTAAAAAAAACAAGGACAACCGAAGAAACATTGTCTATCATCCCCTTATCTCTCTCCTTCAAACACATAAACACCTATTTTGTCATGCCATAAGACAGTAAAGGATGCTTTCGGTTGTGTTCTCAGGACCTTTTGTTTTCCCTACTCAGAGTTGGTGGCAGAGGAAGGAACAAAAGTAGCAATTGTCTCTGTGTCTAATGAATCCATTCATTAGACTTGGCATCATTCTAGTTTTTACACTGCGGCTACAAGTCATCACACAGGCAGTTGATTCCAGTCACAAGCAACCCAGATTGCAAAACACTCTGTGATGTGCAAAGAGAAAGCTTTCGGGTGAAAACACTTTCTCACAATGTAGGGAAAATAAAAGACATGGATAATATTTTCCCTAATTTTAAAATGATCTTTTCAAGATTACCAGAGAGGGAGGTGAGTAGGGAGGACTCGTCCTTCATATACAGAAATGGTTAATTTTCTTCATACCTCTAAAGTTTCCTAAAACTGTAAAACTTCTGTTGAAACAGTTTCCCGAGCTGGAAATGAGCACATGTTTACTATGACCAAGGACATTTACACTTTGCATGAACTATACCACTTAGAGCATTGGGTCTTTCACCCCAGCAGGAATTATGGATTCTGAGGGATGATTCCTTAACTTACTACTCCAGTTTTCATTGTATTGTGTCACAAAGACTAAATGGAAGGGAGCACTGCTACCCACACAGTCACCAAGTGCATGCTCAGACATTAAAGGCACCAGGCTTCCAAGCCATTAGGAGACAGTAGGTAGCTTGCCATCCATTCCACAGAGTTCTTTGGTTTTGAATTTTGTTGTTGTTGTTTTTGTTTTGGGGGTTTTTGGTTTGTTTGTTTGGGGGTGGTTTTATTTGTTGTTGTTGTTTTGTTTTGGGGGAGGTAATCATGGAATTCCTTTTTCTTCTTTGAATATTTCCTGCTTAATTTTCTTCCTGTTCTTATGACTTTACTATTTTAAATGACAGAGGTCTTTCAGGATCATAATTATTTCAGAAATTAAAAACACCATGGCTACAAGTATGATAGTAGCTTAAATTCAGGAACCCGGCCTGAGTCCCTGAAGTCTCTACATGGTTAAAACTAGGGAAAGATTTGACTAGGTACTGTACTGGACCACAGGATATCACCTGGTGAAATTCTGTTAACTTACCAAGCTGTACTATAGAAAGGAATTTAACTAGACAGAGATGTAGGTCAGTAAGTAAGAGTTCTTTCCAGGCAAGAATGAGGACTTCAGTGTGGATCCCAGTACCCACATACAAAGTTGGGTATGGCCATGTCCTCCTGCAAGCTCACTCACTGGGACTTGCTGGGCCCCAGACTCAGGCTCAGATTTAGTCATAGACCTTGTCTCACAGGAATAAGGTAGAAAATGATTGACCAAGACACTCGATATCCTTCCCTGGCCTTCTCTTCTAAACTTATGCTTACCCCTATGTATGCATCCCCTGCCCCAAACAAACACAGGGATAAAGAGACCAGAGATATCAAAGTAACAAGTGGCTAGCCAAATACTGTTGAAATATGCCATAAACCAATATGACCACCTAAAAATTGAGGACCAGAATGGTCAGGGACACCAAGAGAACACGGTCCACAGAATCAATTGACAGGGACCCATGGGAGCCCACAGAGATCAAGGAGCCTATAGAGGCTGCCCTAGGTCCCCTGTATATATATTATGACTGAGTAGCTTGGTGTTCTTGTGGGACTCCTAACAGTGGGAATAGGGTGTGTTGCTTACTCTTTTGCCTACTTATGGGACTGTTTTCCTCATACTAGAGTGCCTCTTCCAGCCTTAATGTGTTGGTATGTGCCTGGTCTTATTGTGACTTGCTATGCTGCGTTTGGTTGATGTCCTTGGGAGACCTGCTTTTTTCTGAGGGTAAATGGGGTAGGGGTGGATCTAGGGGGAAGGGTAGGTAGGGAGAGAGGCTGAGAGGAGGGAAGAGAAGGAAAACTGTGGTTAGGATGTAATATATGAGAGAATAATAATAATGTACTTTATGTATTAAGAAAATCTAACTACGTATTTGATCACTTTATAATGTAGACACATGCTGTATTGTACCACATTTCATTAAATACTGTGGTATAGATAAACAGTCCTCTAGAATATGAAATTCTGAATTTCAAGTATCTTGAAAAACCACTATGGGGAAAGAACAATAATGGTTTGATTGTGAAAAATAAAGATCACAGCCTATTTTTTATACCCTCATTACTTTCAGAGACAAGAATTGAATGAAATTTTCTCTTGTACATTAATCAAGGAAAATTATTTTGTTGTTAACTTTTTATTAGAAACAATGAATAGACAAGAAGAAAAATTAACTGAGTTAATTGGAGTACAACAGAACTAGAATTCATATTTCAAGTTCTTAAGATGTAGAGTTCAACAAAATCTGTCATTGTACTTGTTCATCATGGTGATTTTCACAGCCAACAAATGAAATAGGAACACAGAATAGTAAGAGCAGTAATAGAAGACAATGTTGCAAAGGGTGGTATTCAAGAGCCTTGGAGACACAACTGTGTTATTTTTATGGCTAAAAAGTTTTCATAAAGATCAGTCTAAATATTTAAAATATAAAATTTACATTCTAAAATTATGTTACATTCACAAAACACTGCATGCCCTGGTTTGTTGTATAACAAATATTTTATTATGTTACTATCCACCAGTTATATTTTTCTAATTTTGTATAGTAATCAGGTTATTGAGCCAAGCTACAGTAGTTTTAATAGTAGAGCATTTGAAGTTTCTCCACAATGTTCAGGTAAAGAAACCACAATTAATTATAAACTAAACATCATAGAACTATAAATCTTGAGGAGACAAGAGATCATCTAGCTTGCCTGCCAATACCATAAACTCACCCAGATCTTTAGGACACATGACCACCTGCCATCTTCTTGACCACAATCAATAAAAGAGATCATTGAATCTACTCAGACCTTTGTTGTCAAACCACCTGCCCCAACCTCATGACTTTGTTTACTAGAAAGTTCCTAAGAGGACTCTCATGGTGGCGTACCTCAAATCCTATCGATCAGTCAGTGGAGGTAGGGTGATATTGATTGTTTCAATACTGGATAGCAGGAATTAAGAATATCCCCATATGATAAAATATTGCTTCAATTTCATTATCTATGGATATACACAAGAATTCATTTGTGCCTGGGGGAAGGAGAGTAGCTTAATTTCATGGGTTCTTCCCTTTTCTGCTTAGTACCTTTTTTAAGCACAAGGCTCTGCCACTTTGCTAATACAGTTTATCTATATCATGAGGCATTTGTAATTGATAATATAATCAAGAAATCCAAATTATGTTTTAAAATATTTTTCCAACTTGTGGATTTAAAAGATGATGTGCACCGGAACTATTATAGTTGGCTGGTGTGTTTGACTATATGACTCTTCCACAAAAGCCCATTTGATTGTTTTTTTTCCTTGAGATCTCTAGACTATTGTTGCTTTTTAAAATGATTTTCTGGATTTTGGTAAGTTTTGAATATTTTGAAAATGAAATGAAAATAAAATGTTTTAATTTATTAAATGTTTAGTACTGGGAATGGCATATGGTTTTCGTTTGTGAATTTTATTCATGTCTTGCTATTTGAACTCTAAATAGTATTGATACATTGTATTATGTAGTGCTATCCAGAAAAACAAAACCAATAGAAAATACAGAGGGGAACCATGCATACAAGGTGTTTTAATGTGTGTAAATATGTAGGCAATATATATGTATGTGTGTATGGAAACTGAAAGGAAGACAAAAACAGAGGGAGGCACACACAGAGGAAGTGAGGGAGGGAAGGAGAGAGGAGGGAGAAAAGAGGCCAGGAGGTAGGCAGGATATGTATTATAAAAACTCAAATCCTATGATCACAGAGTCAGTGAGCTGGCCAAAGGTCTCAGAGCAAGATCAGGAGAACTAATGGCGGGATAATAGCTCAAAGGCCTTCAAGCCTGAAATTCAAGAATAGCTGATGTCTCAGTTTGAGTCTGAAGACAAGAAAATAATTTCCTCGATGTTTGAAAGAACTAAGAGGAATGCATTCTGGTTGTCAGTCTCTTAACTGTGTTCAGGGCTTTCACTAATTGAATGGGGCCTATCAGCTCTACAGATTGCAATACATGCTCCTCATTTGGTCAGTTTAAATGGTAAGATCATTCGCCAACAGCCTTGCTGAAAGAGCTGGAGTAATGGTTGGCTACATATGCACGCATCTTGTTGTCAATCAAGTAGACACAAAATTAACATCGCAAGTCTAGCAGTTGTCAAGTTGATATTCATAAATATCTTCTTAACTTACAAAACACTAATGGAAGAAATTGAAAAATACTAGAAGACAGAGCTCCTATGTTCACAGATTAACAGAATTGGTGTTGTTACAATGACCTTATAAGCAAAATCAGTCTACAGATTCAATGTCATCCACATAAAAAATACCAATGATATTTTGGGAAAAATTAGGGAAAGGAAATCCT